CAAAAGCTGTGGCTGCCACTTTAGAGCAGAAACGTTTCCGCACAGCACACCGTTCTGTGTATGTACAGATGGAAAACCAGACTTTGAGTTTAGCTTAAATCATACACAGCGTTACTTGTGAGTCTTGAGCCTTAAATATGTATAACAACTATATACAGTTTGCTCTTTTCAATTTAGAATATACTGTACTTTGAATGCTTCATGTAATGTAAGACTATCATAAACTTCATAAGCCATGCAAGTGACGACTGCATTTTCAAATTATAAGGTTTTAAAAGTAAACTTAACCATGACAGTTTATTAAAGACAATTTGTATTTGTTAATGTGGTTGTAGCTTGCTTGGTGGTGACCGTGATGGTATTTACTGTCATGGGGATGGTGCAATCGGGTGGACCAGAATCGTCAGCACCTTGCTGTGTCACCGCTGTGCTTTCTGTGGCTAAGATTCATTTCCCAGACTTTTTCATCGACTGTTTCCATCATGGTGTGAACCATTTCTCAGTGCTTTAGCATCTGCCTTTGGTTTCTGCTAATTTTCTTAGACTTTCATTTGTCTTGTCCATCTCTGGTGGTTGCTCAACTTTGAGGAGTTCAGGCAGCTTCACCCTCAGCCACTCCAACAGTCCATCCATTTGGCTGAAGCTCTGGGGCAGCTTCTCTTGGTTCTTCTGTTTCTGGTGTCAGAAATTTGTCAGCAGGGCCGAATTTTCAGGAACCATGGCTACCGCCTCCTGCCCCCTGCAGGGTGTCTCCTGTACTTGTTACCTGCGCTGATTTCAGCCGCTGCCCAGCCTAGCACAGAACGAAACTCAGCAGCAGCTGGAGCACCCACGCCCGGTGTCGCCCAGCCTGGGGATGCCGTAGTGGCAACCCTGGGTGGAGTCCCAGCTCCAAGCACAGAAAGTGGATGTTAACCAGAGCATTTCCTGGGAGAGATGTCTCAGGCTGGGAGGCCAGTTTGTCCTACCAGCTTCCTGCTGCCACCTCCCCTTCCATCAAAAGGACACTCAGGAAGGCACAGGAACACAGAGACACTGTAAAGAGTCCAGGGAAGTAGTAAAGGGCTGGGCCAGAGAGCCTCAGACCCAGCTCAGGGTGTTGTCCCTCATGGCTGAGCAGAGATCAGCCACTGCCACTGCGGGGATGACAGAGAGACCCAGGCTTCCCAGCCAGCCTCCGTCTGCACCAGAAGAGGAGAAAACTATTTCCAAATATCAAGTTTTTATTCTTTTCTCTTTTTTCCTTTTTTTCAATATCTTTTTCTCTCAAGTTATGCTCACCTGATGGAAGATTTTATGTTTCATCTTCACATGAAAATTTAAATGTAGTTATACTGGTCACAAATTAAGACTATAAATTGTACTTTACTTTGGCTAAGAATCCTGGGGTAACATTAAACTTTCAATAGTGCTTTCTGAATCTTAACCGTTATGGCCTTTTGTTTGATTCTATTAACTAAATTGCAGTAAGTAATAATAAATTTTTAATTTGCATAGCTTGACAGTTTACAAAGGACATGTATTCATTCATTGAACTGATAAAAGTGTGTTGAGCATCCACGTGGTGCCATACTTTTTGCTAGCCTTGGGAGATAAAATTAAGAAAAAGTATTGGCCAGGTGCGGTGTTGCATACACTTTTGGAGGCTGAGTTGGGCGAATTACATCAGGGTTCAGGAATTCAAGACCAACCTGGCCAAATAGTGAAACCCCATCTCTACTAAAAATACAGAAATTAGCCGGGTGTGGCGGCACACGCCTGTAGTCCCAGCTACTTGGTAGGCTTAGGAAGGAGAATCGCTTGAACCCAGGAGGCAGAGGTTTTGGTCAGATGAGATAGCGCCACTGCACTCCAGCCTGGGCAACAGAGCTAGACTCTGTCTCAAAGAGAAGAAAAGAAAGAAAACACAAATTGGTCTCTACTCTCAGGAAACTTTCATTCTGGTTTCATAAACTCCTCACACACTCTGGTAAAGTGCGTACCTCTAAAGTCTTCTGTAAGCCTACTACCCTAAAATGACCACTATCCAAATTTTGTGTTATCATTTACTTTATGCAGTTTTATCTATGAATAATACACATTTTAGTGTTTCCTGGGGTTTTTAGCCTGTATATATATATGGTAGCATAAGTTTTCATCTGTGCCTTGCTTTTTTACTTATGTATATTTTTCCTCATTTTCCATGTTGCTTTGCATAGCTATAGTAACTTTATGCACCTTTAGAAGTTGTATTGTATGCAGGTTTCCTGAGTTAGACCAACGTCTTTAATGGTTAAAAGAGCAGGCTCAGAGGACCTGCGTAACTTTGGACGAGTTTCTTAACCTGTCTGATTCATCTGGTACTTAGAGATATAACATGGCAGTGAAATTCTTGCTGTTCTTTGATTGTAGTAGTATAGGTAAACTTCTATTAAGAAAAATAAAAACATTATAAAAGGCAAATAAGAATATTTATAGATACATTCAAGACTTAAACATATAATATTTTTTTAAAATTTGTTATTTAATTTGAAAATTTAGATAAAACTACCCTTTTTTTCCAGAAAAGTAAGCGACAAAAACTGACTGAGGAAAAATTAAAAAGATAGAAAAAATTTTTTTTTTTTTTTTTTTAATCCTGCCTCAGGTTTATTTGTACAAATAGCACAGGAGGACCCCAGCCCCATGCAGATGGCAGCCCCAGGGGAGTTACACCAGTCCTTCTGTCCTCACATTGGCAGACAAAGATATCTGTTCTGAAGCCTTTGTAGGGGCCTGGGCACCTTTGAGAGCCTGAGCTGGAACTGAAACTGGAGCTGAAGCCTGGGCCTTGGTTTGATCCTTGGCCTTGGCCTTGACCTTGACCTTTGGCCGGCAGAGCCTGAGCCCCTTGGCAATGCGTGCCCGAACACGCTTCCCAAGCTTGGGGTGGGCAATGTAGGCAAGTCGATCGAGCTTGCGGCTGACACCCTTTGGGATCTTGGGCTTAACCTCCTTGGGCTTTACGAGGGCCTTGATGGCCTCAGCTCGTGCACTCATGGCCTTGGCATTGTTGGCCTGCATCTTCTTTAGGCCCTTCTTGTTGTGCTTCTTGGCAAAGCGCATGTTCCTCAGGAACTTGGGGTCCACCCCCTTAAGAGACTCGTATCTTTGTGATCAGGGTTTCTTGATACCATTTCTGTGCCATTTTCGGGACTGGTTGTGTGTGGTGTGGTTCTTGGACTTGGCCATGTCTGCACCCAAGCCGCAGTTCCCGAAGCTCCTAGGACCAGAAGAGAAAGGAGCAGAAAAATATTTTTAAAAGTCTTTAATTTTACACACTTATAAAGCACACACATTGCAAAAGAACAGCTTGATAAATTTTTACAAAGTGCATATACTGTGAACCCCGCACTCAGTGATAGAAGAGCGTGAACAACCTGGGACCTCTCCCTCCTTGATTCTCCTTTTCAACCACTGTTCCCCCGAGAGAAACGTACATCCTGGCTGTTTAGAAAATAAATAATATTTGCCTGTTTTTGAATTTTAAATAGATTAACACAGTAAGTCCACATTTTGGGCCAGGTTCTTTTGTTTAACCTTGTGAGATTAATCTCTGTTGCTTGGAGTGGTTTGTGTATTCATTTGTCTGCAATGTGACATCATATGAATACATTACAATGTATTTATTCAACTGTTTATAAACATTTTGGTAATTTTTTCCAATTTTTCAGTGCTTCTATAGACCGTCTTGTGCATTTTTAAAGAGAAATTAGTGTAATTATATAGATATTTAACCACAAATATAATAAAAATATATTTCTATCTTCAGCTTGTGTAGGCATTGGCAAGCCCTCTTCCAGAATGTGATACCAACTTATGCGACCAGCACTGGATGAGGGATTATTTATTTTCTAATTGTCTTTATTTTCAAACCCTACAGTGTAAACTTTGTGGTCAGAGGCCTTTAATTTTATTCATCAATTTATTTTCAATTGCATTTTTTGTAATTTTTAATGAAGAAAATATATTCACCAATCAATTTTTAATTGTAATTTTGCAGTTTTTAATTAAGGAAATAAATTTGCTTTTAACTTGAAGCATTTATTTGTTTAAAAATAACTACAGTACAATTGATTTATTTATTCTTCTCTGAGCACTTTTTTACCCACAGCTCTGTTTCTTTACACATAAAACTTATCTGCCAAAAATGCTTTTCTTATTTTGACCATTCTCAGTAAGGGTCATTTCACCCCAGGAGATACTGTAAACAAGCAGGTGCAATGTCCACAGGGTTTGGAAGAAGATAGGCCTTGGCTGACCGGGTGAGCTCTAAGCAATTGTAAGTAACTATCTTCTAAATATGCATAATTTATATTTTTATTTATGTATCACAAACATTTTAGCTGTAGTACTTACAATACGATTTCTGTTCTGAGACCTACAAATCTATCTACATAATACTAATGACAATATTTTAGTCAACAGAAAAAATATATATATATAGCTTTGAAAAAAAAAACTGAGACATTTGCCTCTGTATAAGATACCATACAATCAATTTCCCAAAGTTCAAGGAACTAAAAAGGAATGCACATACACACACACACATGCACACACGCACACACGCACACATGCAAAACATTTTATTACAAGATTCAACAGTTCTCCTTTCGCTGGGTCTGGTTGTGAGAGTCATCACTGTGCCTGTGAGCTGGGTCCAGTAATAAGACATCCCCCCTGTGGTAAGATGCACATATAACAGTCACTATACAAACTGAGCTGTATCCGCAAGTGAGAGTCAAACCCTCAGCAGTGGGCTCTGTCTGTGTGTGAGGGTGATAATCCTGTCAGCTGGGTTTAAATAGAAGAGTCACAATGTCATCTTTGTTCTGGGTTCTGTTATGAAAATGTCTGCAAAACCTAAGGGCTTTATATTATATGCATGAATGTGGTAATCTACTCAGAACTTTCTACAAGCAGAAGACTTGGGACCTTACCCAATGCCTTAAGCCCAGCTGCAAGAATCAACACCTCTTCTATTGGCTAAATCAAAGTATGAGAGTCATTATTGCACCTGTGAGCTTGGTCAAGAAATGAGTCATCATCTCACACGTTGCTGAATTTACATATGACAGCCACAACACTAACTGTGGACGATGTCCATATGTGAGATTCAGGACGTCACCAGTGGATTCTGTCCATGTGTAAGAGTGACAGTTTTAATTGTTGGCTGGGTGTGTGCCTATGGGATGCCAAACTCACCTGTGTGTTGGGTCCTGTTGGGACACTCTCTGTGTCACCGAAGGATGTTATAGGATATGCAAGCGTGTCATCGCCTTCTGTGACATTACCACAAGTAGGAAACAGAGGACCTTACCTATTCCCCTAATTCTAGCCATGAGAGTCAACATGTTTTCTCTCAGTTGGGTCTACATATGAGAGTCATCATCATGCCTGTGAGCTAGGCCTAGGTATGTTACAATCCCACCTATGAAAAGACAGCAGGCAGGAGAGTCACATTGATTGAATGTTGATCTAGGAGTATTTCAATAAACCCGTGTTCAGGGCCCTGGCAAGAAAGTCACATTACTTGAATGCTGAGCTCAGCAATATGTCACAATGCCTCTTGTGGGCAGGGCCCAGCCTAGAGATCCACATCACCCCTTATCCTGTGCAAAACAATATTTCAGGGCTCAGAATGGGGCGGAAAATCACAACATGTAGGTTCTGGCCCACTGGATAGGTCACAATGCCTTTTTTGGCAGAATTCAGGCGGCCAAGTCACATCATTTGGGTGTAGGGCCCAGCAATATGCCAGAATCCTCACTGAAGTCAGGGTCCATGCAGGAAGAAAGAGTCATGTCACCCAGGAGCTGGGCAAGGAATATGTCAGAGTCCACCTGTGGACTCAGCTCTGGCCCCAAGGTTACATATCCTCAGTGCTAAGATCAGCAAGATGTCACAATGCCCTCTGTAATACAGGACAGAGCAGAAATAAATATGACATCACCTAGGTGCAATGCCCAGCAATGTGTCACTATTTATTCTGTGGGCAAGGCCCAAGCAAAAGGAAAATTACATCACCTAGGTGATGAGCCCTTTGATATGTCACCATGTCCCCTTTGTGTAGGGCCCAAGCAGAAGTGAAAAGTCACATCATTGTGTCTTGGGCCAAAGAATATGTCACAATGGCTCATATAAGAAGTGCTTTGACAGAAGAGTCCCATTACCTAGGTGCTGGGCCCAGAGATACTTGGACATTTCCTGTGGGCAGAGCACAGGCAGGTGAGGAAGGTCACATAACCTAGGTGTTGGCCCAGAGATATGTCATAATTCCCCCTTTAGGTCAGGCCAATGCAGAAAAGTCACATCACCTGGAGATAGTTCCCACATGATGTCACCTTGCCCCTTGTAGACAGGGCCCTGATAGAAGCTGAAAAGGACATTACCTAAGTGCTGGTCTCAGTGATGTATTACCATTTTCTTTTAGGACAGAGTAAAGGCAGGAGAGGAGAATCCCATCAAGTAGGTACTGAGCCCAGAGACACGTCACCATTCTCTGTGGGCAGGGACCAGTTACATCACCAAAATGAAGGGTTCAGCGATATGTCAAAATCTCCCCCATGGTCAGGGTCCAGATGGGAGCAAAGAGTGACATGATTTGGCAGTGTCCCCACCCAAATCTCACCTTGAATTTTATTAATCCTAAAGTGTCAAGAGCAAGGCCAGATAAATATAATGGAATTATACAGGTGGTTCTCCTACACTGTTCTTGAGATATTGAATATGTCTCCTGAGATCTAATGGTTTTATATAGGGGAGTTCACCTGTACGGGTCTTTATGCTGCCACAGTGTGAGATGCCTTTTTGCTCTTCCTTCATCCTTTACCATGATTGTGAGGCCTCCTCAGCCATGTAGAATTCTGAGTCCATTAAACCTACCTCTTTTAGAAATTACCCAATATTGAGTATGACTTCATTAGCAGTATGAGAACAGACTAATATAGAAAGTCATATTTTTAGTTGATGGGCCCACACATGTATCACACTGCCCTTTTTGCACAGGGCCCATCAGCAGAGTCAAACCACTTGAGTACTGGGCTCAGGGTTCTGTAACAATCACAGCTCTGGGCAGTGATTATTCAAAAGAGTATGGCTGCTTCACCCAGGTGATGGGGCAAGAGACACTTCACAATGCCCCTTTGGGGCAAGGCACATGTAGTAGAGGAGAGTCACCTCACCTAGGATAGATTATTTTTGTATGTAAGGCACAGGAGAAAAGTTACATCACCTAGGTTCTGGGTTCAGTGACATGTCACAATTTTTCCAGTGGGCAGGGCAGAGGCAGAAGTCACCATACCTACATGCTGGATACAGTGATATGCCACAGGTTTCCCTAAGAACAGGATTCTGTCAGGTAAATAGAGTCCCATTACTTGGGTGATGAGCACAAGGATATGTCACAATGCCTTCTGTGAGCTGTCAGTGCCAGGCAGGAGGGTAACATCCCCTGGGTCCTGGGCTCAGCAACATGTCACAGTCTCCCCTTGGGCACTGCCCAGGAATGAAAGGAGAGTTACATGACCTAGGTGTTACATCCAAATACATGTCACAATTTACCCTAAAGGCAAGGCCTAGGAAAAGCATAGGGATACTTTACTTAGGTGCTGGGTCCAGAGATATGTTCCATTCTCCTCTGTGAGCCTGACCCAGACAGGAGAGTCACATAACCTAGGTGATGGATGTGGAGACATGTCACATTGTTCCCCATAGGCAGAGCCTAGGTAGGAGAGTTAAATCATCTGGATTCAAGGCCAAGCTGAATGTCACAATGCTCTCTATGAGCAGGGCTCAATCAGGAGAAAAGAGTCACATCATTTAGCTGATGAACATGGTAATACGTCACAACACCCACTGTGGGTGGGTCAAGAAAGGGGAGAAGCATTACATCACCTAGGTGATGAGCCCAGTGACATGTCACATTTCCCACTGTGAGGAGGTTAAAGGCACATTTCCTAGGTGCTGGGCCTAGCAATATATAACTCGTTTCCACCGAACAGATTCCAGGCAGGAAAGGAAAGTGACATCATGTAGTTGGTGGGTTCAGCAATATGTTACCATCATACTGTGGATGGGGGCCCAGCAGTAGAGGAGAATCAAATCGCCTAGGTTCCGCGTTCCAATGATATGTCATAATCCGACCTGAGGGAATGACGCAGGTATAAGGGAGTCCCTTAATCTAGTTCATTAACTAGATCCCAGAGATATGTCACAATGTCCCTGTAGGAACAGAGAGGAATGACAATGTCTCATGTTCCAGGGAGGAATGTTACAATGTCCCATTTTCCAGAGAAGAATATATCGCAATGTTGCTGGAGGAAGAATCATATAACCTAAATGCTGGGCTTAGCAATATGTCACAATCTTTTCTGTTTGCAGCTCCTAGGCAAAAGAAGAAAGTCACAGCATTTAGGTGCTTGGCCCAGGTATATGTCAAAATTCCAGTTTGGGGCTGGACCCAGGCAGGAAAGTCAAATTACTGAGGGGCTGGGCAAAGACATATGTAATAATGACATTTGTGGGAAGGTGCAGGGATGAGACTGACAATCCTGTATATGTCTAAGTTCTGGATATGAGAGTCAAGATCTGTGTGTTAGGTCCTAGTACATGAGTCACAAACTCAGTGACAGACTGGGTATGTGCATGAGACCTCAATCTCACCAGCAGACCATGTCCCAGTAGGGAACTCACAGCCTCACAAGTGAGCTGAATCCAGGTCAGAGAGCCACTAACTCACTCTCGGCTGGATTCTTGTCTGAGACATAATTCTACATTTTGACTGCCTCCAGCTATGACATTTAGGACTTCAACAGTGTGCTGTATTCAGCTGAGAGGGTGACAAATCTTACTTTCAGCTGGGTGTGCACACAAGGGTTACAGTCTCACTGGTGTGCTGGGCCCTATTATGACACATGGTACATCTCAAGGGCTTTAAAGTATACACCTGAGATTCACAATTTTCTCTGAGACCTTCATGCCTATATGGATTCACAGTCTTACTCATTGCCCTAGAATCAGGAAGGAGATTGAACATCTCTCTTATTGGCTGGATCGAGGTATGAGAGTTATAACGGTTCCTGTGATCTGAGTCCATCAATGAGTCACCATGGAAACTGTAGCCATATTCACTTATGAAAATCACAATTTCAACTGTGGACTGTGTTCTCGATTCAATTTAAATTTTACCAGCAGGCTCTGTCCATGTGAGAGAGTGACAGTTATAACTGTAGCCTGGGTGTCACATGAGAGTCAATATCTCAACTGTGTGCTGTGCCCTGCCATGATACTCTTTACCACTTGAGTGCTTTATATACTATGCATGAGAAATGTAATCTTTTCTGATCTTTATACAATTAGGAAACTGAGGACCTTACTGGTTGCCCTCATCTCTCCTATTAGCTGAGTTAAGTTACAAGAGTCATCCTCATCCCTTTTAGCTGGGAGCAGGGATGGGGCTGAATTATCATGTCCTCTGGGTGCTTTGCATCAGTGCTGGACCCAGTGCAATGTCACAATGCCCCCTGTGGGCAAGGTCCAGAAAAGAGAGTTACATTACCTGGGTGCTCAGCCCAGTGATGTGGACCAGGCTTTTCTGTGGGCAAAGCACAGGCAGAAGGAGACAGTCACATCACTAGGTGATGAACCCAAAGATGTGCTCAAATGCCCCCTGTGAGCAGGGCTCAGGCAGAAGAGTCACAGCACCCAGGAGCTAGATTCAGCAATAGGTCATAATTCCCCCTAGATGAAGGGCCCAGAAAAAAGGGAGTCACATCATGTAGGTGCTGGGTCCAGAGAGATGTCACAATGCTCCCTTTGGACATTCTTCATGAAGTAAAGTCACATCACCTTAATGTTGGGCCCTGCATTATGTCACCCATGCCCCCTGTATGCAAAACCCAATCAGAAAAGAATATTTACTTCACCTGAGTGCTAGGTCCAGTGCAATGTCACAATCCCTAATATGGACAGGGCACAGACATGAAAGGGGAGTCATATCACCTTGGTGTTGTGCCCAGTGATATGTCACAATGCTCCCAATGTGCAGGAACCAGGCAGGAGAAAATAATCATATTACTCATGTGCTGGGCTCTGAAATATTTAAAAACCTCCCTTGAGAGCAGTGCCCAGAAAGGAGAGTTATATCACCTAGATGCTTGATTTTTATTAATGTCACTGTGTAGGCTTGGCCAACACAGGTAAGTAGATTCTCAAGTGCTAGAATCACACCTGCAAGAAGGTCCAGTGGTTAGATTTACAATTCTGCACAAGTCCCAGCTTTAGGTATGAGAGTCAACGCCTCCTGTGAGTTACGTGCAAGTACATGACTCACCATCTCAATAGTAAATTGGATCTGTGCGTGAGAGTTCCAGCCCCACCTAGAAACTGTGTCCTGATATGAAAGTAACAGGCTCACGGTGTGCTGAATTCTGGTTCAAGAGTCACCACCCCACCTGTGGATGGGATCCATGAATGAGAGTCATGATTTTAACTTTCAACTGCCTCTGGGTATCAGATTCAAACCTCAAAGGTGAGCTGTGTCCATGTGGGAGAGTCACAACTCTTACTTTCCTACTTTTGGGTGGGTGTGCATTTAAGGATCACAATCTCACCTGTGTAATTGGCACTGTTAGGACATTTTCTGTATCACCCAAAGGCTTTATATGACATGCGTGAGAGTCACAGTCTGTTCTGAGAATTTTGGGCTGGTGTGACCCATGATTTTACCTGTTGCCCTAAGCCCAGGTATGAGAGCCAACCTGTGTCTACTTTGCTGCATCCAGGAATGAGAGTTGTCACTGTGCCTGTCAGTTGCATTCAGAAGTGAGTCACCATCCTACCTGTGGCTGCATCCAAAAAAGTCACAATTCTAACTGCAAACTGCATTTACAGGTGAGATTTGGGACCTTTACATGTGTGTAAGTTAAACTCCTAACTGTTGGCTGGGTGTGCATATGAGAGTCACAGTCTCATGTGTGTGCTGAGCCATGTTATGACACTCTCTGAACCAACTGAAAGCCTTATAAAATATGCATGAGTAATGTAATTTTCTCTTACCTTTGTACTAAAAACACCCAGACCTCACAGATTGCCCTAAGCCTAAAAAAAAGTCAGTATCTCTCCTATTTGCTGGATTAAGGTATAATTGTCATCATTACACCAGTGAGCTGAGCCCAAGTGTATGTCACAATCCCACGTGTAGGGAGAGACCAGGCAGAAGAGTCACCTCACCTGGATGCTAGGACAGCAATATGTCAATCCGCACTGAAAGCAGGATCAGGGAAAGAGAGGCATATTACCTGGGTTCTGGTCCTGGTGACATGCGACGATCCTTGATATCGACAGGTCCCAAGCAGAGGAGAACCATAACATTACTTAGGTAATGTAATATGTACTTAGGTGATACTCAGCACTATGTAACAATGCCCAATGTGGGCAGAGCCCAGGCAACAGAGGAGAGTCACATCACCTAGTTGCTGCTCCCCACAATATATTGCAATTCCCACTGTTTTGGGGATTTAGCGAAAGAAGTAAGTCAGAAAAATTAGGTGCTGGGTTAAGCAGTAGTTCACAATCCCCACTACTGGCAAAGATCAGGGAGCAGAGAAGACCCAAATCACCTAGGACCAGCAGTATGTCATATGTTCTTCTGAGGCCGAGGCCCAGGACAAAAAGAACACTCACTTCACCCAGGTGATTGACTAAATAATATGTCATTATGTTCCCTGTGGGGAGAATTAAGGCAGAACAAGCACATTATCTAGGTGCTGGGCCCAGCGATATGTCACAATCTTTGTGCTCAAAGCCTTGACACAAGAGGAGAGTCACATCACCAGGTGTTGTATTCAGAAATATGTAACAATCACTTCTAAGTGACAGGTTCAGGCCGATGAGGACTGTCATATTACCTTGGTGCTTGGCCTTGGTATATGTCACAATTTTATCTGTGGGCTGGGCCCAGTCAGAAAACAAAAATCACTCAGGATATGGGCAACAGCATATGTCACAATCACACTTCCACAAAAGTCCACGGATGAGATAAACAATCCCAAACACATCCGGCTCTAAGGATGACAGTCAGCACCTCCTGTGTGATCAGTTCATTTATGTGAGTCAGAATCTAGATATTGGATTAGATTAGTGCCTGGGGACCTTAATTCAAGCTTCAGATTGTGTCCTAGTAGTAGAGTCACAGCCTCAGAGGTGTGATGAATCTTGGTCCGAGAGTCATTATCTCATCTGTGAAGCTGATCCATGAATGAGACTCACAATTCCAACTTTTAGCTGCCTCCAAGTGTGAGATTCAGAACCTGAACAATGGGCTGTGTCTGTTTAAGAGGGTGAAAATCCTTACTGTAAACTGGGTTTGCATGCGAGGATCCCTATCTCCCCTGTGCACTGGGCCCTGTTATCACACTCTTGGTGCCACCCAAGGGCTTTCTATGATATGCCCAAAAGTCACAATCCACACTGAGATCTACGTGCTGGTATGAACTCATGATCTTACTCACTGTCATAAGCACAGGAATGAGAGCTAACATCTCTCTTATTGTCAGACATGACAGCTCTCACTGTGCCTGCGAGTTGGGTGCAGAAAGAAGTCACCATCCTACCTCTGGCCAGATTCAGGTATGACAGTCACAATTTGAACTGTGGAGAGTATACACATGTGATACTCAGGACCTCACTGTCCACCTGTGGAAGTGACAGTTCTCTCGTGTTTGGGAACACCTATTAGAATAACAATTTTTGCTTTGTGCTGGGATCTGTTATGACACTCTCTGTACCACAAGAAGGGGTCATACACTCTGTGTGAGTTTTGTCATCCACAACCTTCATGGAAGTAGAAAGCCCAGGACCTTGCCCATTGCTTTAAGGCTACCTATGAGAGTCAACATCTCTCCTATTGGCTAGGTCCAGGTATGCAACTAATCACTGTGCCTCTGAGCTGGGTCCAGAAATCAGTCACTGTTCAACCTGTTCCCAGTTGTACGCATGACAGTCAGACTTTTAACTGTGGACTCTATCTGCATGTGAGGTCCAGAAACTCACCAGTGTGTTTCTTTTATGTTTGGAAGTGACACTCCTAATTGTTGGCTTGGTGTGCCTGTGAGAGTCACAATCTCACCTGTGTGCTCAGCCCTGTTATTAAATTCTCTGTAGCACGAAGTGTTTATAGGATATGTATGAATTTCATACATCGCTGTGACCCTTCTAAAAGTAGGAAACCCAGGACTTTACCTACTGCCTGAAGTCTAGCTAAGAGCCTGAAAATCATCCTATTATCTGGGTTCTCATATGAGTGTAATTGTAATGCCTGTGAGCTGGGAAAACTATATGTCAAAATTAGCCTGTGTGAATAAAGCAGAAAAGATAATCAGATCACCTGAATGCTGGACCAAAAACATCTGGATATCCCCTCTGTGGGCAGGGCCGTGGCAGAAAAGTCACATAACCTGGGTACTGGGCCCAGCAGTATGTCTCAATGCCTTCATTGGGCAGGTTCATGCAGAAAAGACACATTATCTGCATGCAGGGCACAGTAATATGTCAGCCTGTGGACAAGGCTCAGTTAAGAGGGGAGAGTCACTACACCCAGTTGATGGGCCTATTGATATATCACAATGCCTCCTTTTGGAGGGGCCAAGGCAGGAGAGTCATATCATTTATGCATAGGGCTCAGTGATATGTCACAACCCGCACTGTGGCAAAGCCCACGCAAAAGAGAGAGTCACACCACTTAGGTGATTGGCCCAGTTATATGCTACAACTATCTCTGTTGGCAGGGCCCAGGCAGAAACGAATGATTATGTAACCTAGGTTATAAGCCCATTGATATGTCACATTGTTTTCTGAGGACAGGGCCGATGTAGGAAAGCAAAATAACTTAAATGCTTGGCCCAGGTATATATCACAATTTTATTTTGACAGCTTCACTTAGGCAGGATAATCAAATCACTCAGGCACTGGGCAAAGGTACCTGTCATGGTAACACAGCAAGAAGGTAGAGAAATGAGATTTAAAATTCCACACATTTTCTGACTTCATGTACAAAAGTCAGGAGATCTTATTTGAGTTGGGTCCAAGTACATGAGTCACAATCTTAATGGTGGACTCTATCCCTGCAAGAGAGTCACAATTCAAAATCCCAAATCTTTCTCAATCTATGAGTCAATCCACAGCCTCACTGTGAACAGTTTCCATGTGTGAAACTGACAATGTTTACTGTTGGCTGAGTGTGTATAGGAGAGTCACAATTTCACCTGGGTTCTTGGTTTTGCTATGACACCCTCTGTATTACCCACGGGCTTTATATGGTGTAAGTGGCAGTTGCAATCTGCTGAGACCTGTATACTGGTGTAAACCAATGATTGTACCCATTGCCCTGTGCTCACATATGGGAGTCACATCTCTCTTATTAGCCAAATATAGGTATGACAGTCATCGAAGTTGTAAGCTGGCTCCAATAATAAGTCATCATACCAACTGTCTGGGGACTCACATATGAATGTCACAAATCTAACTGTGGAGTGTGCCTGTGAGATTCAGGAGCTCATCACTGGGTTATTTTTATGTGTGAGGGGAACAATCCTAATTTTTAGTTGGGTGTGCCTATGAGAGTCACGATTTCACCTGCATACTGAATCCCGTTATTATCCTCTCAATGTCACACAAAAGCTTTATAGGATGAGCTTATGTAATATAGTATTATGTAACTTTCCTCACATGGGAGACCCAGTACTTTATCCATTACCTAAGCCTAAAATAAAAAAGCAAAATGTCCTTTCTTAGTGGGTCCATATATCAAATTAGCCAGTAAAAGATACTGTCTGTCCTAGTTAGGCTGCGAGAAATAGATAAAATGCACCTGGGTCTCCTCTTTGTACAAAGATCATAAAATATTATCACTTCCTCCCAGATTGTATGAAGCCCTGGGCTGATACAGAGAATGTAAATTCAGGCCCAGCACACAATAGACATTTTTCTCACTGTATGCACACCCAGCCAACCATTAGCTTTGTCACCCACACACATAAACAGAGCCCACTTGTGAGGTCCTGAGTCTAACTCATGGATGCAGTTTACCGCTGAAATTGAGACTGCATATGTGAACACCTGGCAGTGGGAATGGAGACTCATTTCTTAACCCAGGTCATAGGCAGGTGAAGATCCTTCTATCTAAATGCAGCCATTCTTAAAGATGTTCCCTCTCACATCTAGGCTTAGACTCACAGGTAAAATTGTGGGTTTACGCAAGAACAAAATTTCAGAATGGATTGAAACTCTCATGCATACTGTATAATGCCCCCAGTATGACAGAGAGGGTCCCTACAGGGCAAGGCATACAAATGAGATTGTGATAGATGCATGCACACCCAGCCTACAGTAAAGATTGTCATCCAGCCACATGAACACAGCCGGTGTTAAGGTCTTGAATCTCATGCCCAGAGTCAGTTGGAAGTTGAAAACTGACTCTCATATGTGGAGAATCAGCAACCCACCTAACCAAGATTCAGCACACCGGTGAGGCTGTGACCCTTTGAAAATAATACAGTGTGGAGGAGGGATTGTGGCTGTCATGTTAGGATCCTTTCCCTTGTTGAGACTGTAACTCATGTGCTGAGACCCAACATAGAGAATATATTGACTCTTATACCTCGAACTGGGACATGGGGATGATGGTTACTTTCATCCCTGGATGTTTCTGCAGGTGTGATTGTGACATATTTCTTTTGACTTTCTTTCCTGGGCCCTCTCCTTTTAGGGTGTCCTGACATATTTCTGAACCCAGGAACTAAGTGATCTGACTTTCTTCTACCACTTGGGCTCTGACCAAGAAGGGATTGTGATGTATTGCTGGACCCAGAAACACGGTGATGTGACTCTTCTCTTTCATCAGAGCACTGCCAGAAAAAAAAGAAAACATTGTGACATACCCTTGTCCCTGATTGTAGATGATGAAACTCTCCTCTTTTTGCTTTGCCCGACATTTTTGGGTACCAGGAAACATCACTAGACCCAGAACCTAGGGGATGTGAGGCTCCTGCCTGAGCCCTGCCTGCAGTGAGCCTGTGACATATGTCTGCATTCATCACCTCAGAATTGTGACTCTTTTTTTGCCTGGATGTGGCCAACAAGAATAATTGTGACTTATTTCTGCACCCAGGAGCCAGTTGATGTGTGTCTCCTGCCTGGGATTTTCCCACAGAGAGCATTGTGACATACTGCTGGGTCCAGCCCCCAGGTGAGGTGATTTTGTTCCTGTTACATGGCTTTCAGGAGGAGATTTTAAAATATTCTTGGCTAAGCATGCTAATAATGTGACTCTCCAGCCTGCTCTCTGCCTTTCTGAGAAGACTGTGCCATATCCATGGCCTAGCACCTAGGTGCTGTGTCTTTCCTGCTTGCTTCCTACTGAGAGATGTAACATATACCTTGGTCCAGGTCACAGGTTCAATAATGACTAGCATACCTTGTGAGTTGAACCAGCCAACAGAAGATATTGACTCTCATATTTAGGCTTAGAAAATGAGTAAGAGCCTGTGTCTCCTCTTGTGTCAATGTTATAGAAAGTTGCTATTTTTCATATACCACTTAAAACAAGGCCCAAGGCCACCAGGTCTGCAGGGTCTGAGGTTGGTGAGAGTTCTGATATAGGCCTGTGTCACCCCTCTATTCTCTCAGTGTGTGTGGATATGGGGCTCCCTGCCCTCCTGGAGGCACTTAGGTGGAGCCTGGGAAGGGACGAGAAGTAGGATTTCCTAGGACTGACCTCCTAAACAAGGGCAATGGGAATGTGGATTGGGATGTTTCCTGAGGGCCAAGGCTACCCCATCCTGGTGACACCATGATCAATTTCTGTGAAGCAAAGTCCAGGCATTTGTCATGCAGGAGAACATGTATGTATGGAACTGGTCTGGAAGCTTGAGCTCCTCTCTGCCCTCTAGAACTGGCCTTGAGATGAGGTGTGAGAGAAAGGGGCTTTGGGTTTGTCTCTCTGGGTTTGAATCCAGTCTCCACTCCTAACCAGTGTGTGACTTTGTGTGAGTCACTTGGCCTTTCTGAGTCTGTGTCCTTATCTATCACATGAGGGTAAAAGACTCCCTAACTCAGGGTTTCTGTTTTGTGGGGACTAAGTGATAAGGACCCAAGGGCCCAAAACCAAGCCCTTAATAGGTGGGTCTCACTTGACATGCAGTCTCACCTGGGGACCTCATGCCACTGGGGCTTTGTGCTTTTAGTGATACCCTTCTCCCCTCTGGCCTAGTCCTAGCCTCCTGCAGGTTGTCTGGGTTGAGGAGGCGCAGTACAGGGAAAAACACTGTGCAGCCCACTCCTCACCAGCGCCCATTTTTTGGACTCCCCAATGCCTCTGGGTTGTATGGCTCAGCTCTGAAGCTGGTCTGCTTGGGTTCAATCCTGACTTCAGCCCTGCCTTGCTGTGTGGCCCTGGCTGAGTGGCTTGGTCATGTGGACCACAGGAACAGGGTTGATAGCAGCACCTACCACTGAAGGTCGTTCAGATTTAATGAGCTTCTGCTTGAAAGCAGAGACTGGAAAAAGGGTGAGTGCCTGGTCAGATATCTGGGCTGTTGTTAGGATTCTGTTTGAGGGTGTAAGTATGCAGAGAAAAGTTCCTGAGAGGCTTCTAAGTGAATTAACATTTCAGAGCTGGTATCTTGTGGATCCTCTCTTTCCCCTCAAACCTGAAGAATGGGTCCTATCCTCTGGCTTGGCTGTTTGCATCGGCTCATGTCCTGATGGGTCCCTACTTTGTGTGCCTTTGCCCATAAGCTGCCCAGGGTAGTTGGGCTTGGTGTGTTGACATGAAGCATCAAGAAAAGAAAACAAGATCCCAAATACACCACTAGTCACAGGCTGGCGCAGTGGCCCCATTCCCTTGGGGTTATTTGTGTAAATGAAGGGTCCTGCCTCTACTTTCCCGCTACCGAGGGTAGCTCTGGCTGGGTGGGCTGGCACGGGAAATTAAGGGCAGCTCTCTGTGCCTGGATTAGAGAGATGGCACAGCTGTCCCTGTCAGGTTGTGGGCCTGAGATCAGTTATTTCTATCAGTACTGAAGCCAACAACTAGATTTGGTCTGGGCCAGCTGACACCATTCCATACATCCTGGAAGATTATCAGTCTTTTTAGTTGTCGTGCTCAACGAGGTCTTGGCTAGGCAGGGGCCCTGATGTGGCTGTCTTCACTATAGCTTCAAACAACAGGGTCAGGAGGACACTGTGACACTGCTCAGGAGGACAAGTGGGGCCAGAATTAGGACTAGCTCATAAATGGAAGCTTTGTGTCACAAGCAGACTACCCTGTTCTTCCAGAATGGAGACCCAGGAGGCTTCTCAGCCGAAAGGAGTTGCTCTGCGGTTCGGCATGCCTCTGTTGTTTTCCTGGTACTCTTCATTTGAGGATACTACTGGGCAGGCTTGTCCTTACCACAAGCCATGCTTCGTCTGGTCCAATATCCTATTTTATTTTTTTTCCTGTGGCTCCTTGAGGTCATAGTTTTCGTCCAAAAAATAAAAGAATTTTATTCTGGGCAGAGGTACTAAGATGTAGCTGATGTGATTCTGCGAAGTACTGCATTCACCCGAAATTCCCGATCAGGTCAGTTGGAGGAGGAGGGCATTGCAGACCCTGAAGTAGGCCCTCCAGACTGAACTCCCCATTAGATTCAGAATCGGACAGCGTAAGCAAAAATCTGGTCCCATGAAGCTGGAGATTCTGCATTGGTCTCAAAGCCCAGGGACCCCAGCTTCTCACCACTGCTGTCTGTAAAAAAAAGAAAGACACACAACACACACACACACACACACACACACACGCACGCACACAAACACAAAGCCACGCCGAGAAATCACACAGTCGCAGGCAGCTGCTGAGACTGTGGGGTTCCGCTATCTTCCGAGAAGCCGCTCCTGGTTAGAGCAGCCCCACGGCACACAGGCTGACATTACCTGCAATTCCCGGTAGGGAGAGCTTTCAAGAAGACACACGCCAACAGTGCCTGGGGAAGCCTGAAGCATCTAGGGGGTTCTTGGGGATCCATCGCCCTGGGCATCCCTGAAGCTCCGCTGGACGTTTTCTCCGCCTGGTTCTGCCAAGCCGCACTCCGGAAATCACGGGACCGTGGCGACGATCGCCGTGAGGGGGGAGCCGTCGCCCAACGGTGAGGCACTCCCGCCGTGGGCCCCTGCTTTCTCAAGTTGCTCAGACTGTTCCCCAGGACACGGTGACCGTCACTGTGACGCGAGCCCGGCTCAGCGCTCGCGCTTGTGACGCCCCGCCTGCGCACGCGCAGTGGCGCTCCCGGATGGCCGGCCGCAGTGTCCGTGCTCCCCGGCGGCAGCCGCACAGGACAATGCTGGAGGCGGTGCCCGGGGCAGTCCCAGGGAAGGAGGCTGCGTGCCACAAGCAGCGCAGGAGCCGGACAGTTCTGACCTCCGTACCTCTTTGACACGGCTTTCCTGATCTGATCGGCCGGAGGAGGAGGGCGATTCAGATCGTGAGCTGGGCACTCGAGACTGCCCTCACCATTGCAACCCGGACGGCTTGGAAGGCGTGGGCGGAGGTCGGGTCCCATCGGGCTGGAGACTCAGTCTGATGAGGTGTGGCGGGGGTCGGTGGACCCCAGGAACATGGGTCTGAGACCCTCCAAGAGGGTGTCAGCAGAACATTTTCCTGCTCCGTGAGCTCACTGCCCCCCCTTGGATATGGGCCACACACCAAGGGGCCCTGCCTTGGTCTCCAAGTCAACGGACCCCCCGCTTGGAGTCAGCACTGCTGATGGAGAAGGCACTACCGCAGAAAGCCCCGGCTCTGCAAAGCCGCTGAGACGGTGCCCCAAGCCATGGTGGCGGCCACTGTGACACGAGCCCGGCACAGGCATCGCCGGATCCTGAGAGTTCAGAAAGAAAGAGCAGCGATTCCAGCGCGAGGCAAACTTGGTAACACCCGGAACTGGCCTCCCATGGTCTCCGGGGCAGATCAGGTGGAGAGAGCATCTCAGAAGCTTTTCGGGGCGATTCCAATCCCAAGCCGGATGTCCTGGCATGCCGCTGAGTACCCCCAAGAAACCCAAGCACAAAATGCTAACAGAGCGTAGTCACTTTATTGTTTGGATAGAAAACATCGTCTTCTTGGTACAAAGTGTTTCGATCAAATCACGTTCATGGCCGGTATACAGAGAAGTTTGTCAACTTTCGTTGTCAGAGGACCAATCCTTCATTCTGTTAAAAGTGCAGATTGTTAATCTCATTGACACTTCAACCCACAGTGTAACCGTCTGTTGGAGGTCAATCAGTGGCTGAAACCTTTTTCTGAGTCAGTGTTTCCATTAAGTCATACTTTGATAAAGGCCCTACACTGCCATTAGGTTTCACTTGTTTTCTGTGATGAGGAAATCATCCGCATGGAACCTTCATCCCGTCAAGACCAAGTCTGAGCAACCAACGTACTTGTCAAGCTTTTTTTTTGTTTGTTTGTTTGTTTGTTTTTTGTTTTTTTTGTCAAGCTTTCTCATCCTCTCCAGTTCCCTTGCGTGGGGCACATTCGGTTCTTCCATCTTCAGCTGAGGGCTTCTTTTGAAACACAGACCGTCTTTGTCTTGTCTCTCCAGGAACTTCTTTGCTGCCATACAAGGGCCGAGAAAAGAAAACAACGGAAAACACGAGAAGGATATGAGGGAACAGTTTTGAAGAAAGAAAACTTCTCAAAGGTAAGGCTGTGGAAAAGTGTTTAACTGATTCCAACCTCATGGTTTTTTTTTTTTTTTTTTTCCCCTCGGGAACAAAGATTTTTCCTCTTCTGGTTCTCTGGGAAAGAACAATCCAAACAATATCTAACGTTTAATTATTGATAAAAATAAATTTCCCCTGTCAAACTTGATTGCCAAAGTAAGGGGCTTGAAAAATTATCTTTTCCTCATTAATACTACTATGTTGGACCACTGCATTTCTGTGACCATTTATACCACAGGAAATAAAAAGTAATAAATTAAATATACTTTATACATACTTTTATAAATGTCCATCATGAGGATTTGCTCAGAGCATGTAAGTTTCCCTAAGTTATCACATATGACATCCATAGCTGAAATGCTAACCCTGGTATCATACTACGCACATTGTTTGCTCACATGTATGCAAGTGCCTACATGTTTATGGAAAGTAGTAATTTTTCAGCAACAAAAGAAGAGCCTAAGGAAAAGGTCTCACAGCTCCTAAGTCCTAGTTCAGGTAAAACCAATAGAAATGCCATGGGAAAGATCATTTTAAACTAATTCATGGGCAATTCCTGTCCTGTAGTTCAGAATATGTTTACCATTTCAAGGCATGCATACAGATGCTTAACAATACTGTAGGTACCTGAGTGTTGGCAGCCAATGTGTTAGAAATCTCCAGCAGTCACAGCACAGCCTCTGTATAGACGTTGCAGCTCCCTTAGGCAGACCACTGTTCCTCAGAGACTGGAAGAGAAAGCAGGCGCTGCTCCCAACAATTACACAGACAGCTGAGATCAAGGAACATTCCCACGCTAGATTTGGTACCAAAGGATTCTCGACAGAAAGACATGGAACGATAAATATATTAGTGTTTCCTTACATGACCGCGATTTCAATTATTCATGATACCAAGCCCACTGGGATTTCATCCCATGGCTAAGTGCATACAATTTAATCTACCCCTAATAACCAAGAGTCAATTAATTAAGTCATTCAAAATAAATTTAATTTAGAAACTATCTCTCTGTTTCCATCTCTACTGCCTTTGAGTGTTTTAATTATCTTATGAAAGGACATAGGAAGAAAAACAAAGACTATATTGAAAAGAGGCCTTTAAATGCAGACTCTACATCTGCAATTCTTACTCTCAAGAACAGTACTGAGACTTGCTCCTGGAAATAGCAATCATGTCCCATAAGAACTGGCATCCCCTGAGTGAGTGCCTACCAGAAACACAGAATCACAGGCTCACTCCAACACAAGGATGACAATCTGTCTTTTAACAAGAATCCTCAGTAGGTCCAATGCACATCAGTTGAGGGACAGCAGCTAGTCCCTCAAGGGGTCCTGAGGACGGGGCCAGCCCTAGATGTGCCGCAGGACCAAGGGCCCTTGGAATAGTTGGGTTTTGGGTGTGCTGTGCTCATCTTCTTTCTGGAGGATTGACCCGTCGAGATGGGCAGGTGATGAGGAGACCCCCGGGTGGGAGCCAGACCCCAACGACACTGAGGCTTTAGAAACCAGGAGCAACATAAAGAACACGGGGCCCCAATGCCCATAAGCTGGGCCAAGGTCAGAGGCGCACCAGAACCAAGACTGACTACAGAGAAACCGCGCTGGGGTGCACTGGCCACACCACTGGTCAAGCATACAGCGCTAGCACACGCACACACAGGTGAACACACGAAGACATACAAACAGACACACACATGCACGCAGACACACAGGCACACAGACACTCGCACCCGAACGCACACGCACACACGCGGACACACACACACACACACACACACACACACAGAGAGAGAGAGACTAAGCCACGGCGAGAAATCCAACAGTCGCAGGCAGCTCCTGAGGTTGTGGGGTTCTGCCCTTATTCGGGAAGCCCCTTGGGGATAGAGCAGTTCCGCAGCACACAGGCTGACCTTACCTGCAAATCCCAGTTGGGGCAGCTTGCGAGGAGACGCACCTTAACACCGTCTGGGCGGGCCTGAAGTATCTAGGGTATCCTTGGGGATCCATCGCCCTGGGCATCCCTGAAGCTCCGCTAGACGTTTTTTCCGCCTGGTTCCGCCAAGCCGCACTCCGGAAATCGCGGGACCCGGGCGACGATTGCCGTGAGGGGGGAGTCGTCGCCCAACGGCGAGGCACTTCCGCAGTGGGCCTCTGCTTTCTCAAGTTGCTCAGGCGGTTCCCCAGGACACGGTGGTCGTCACTGTGACGCGATCCCCGGCTCACCGCTCGCGCTGTTGAAGACCTTACCGAGAGACTGAGTCACTGGGGGAGCTGAAGGAGGTGGAAGAACTCGCTTTCCTGGAGCCACCCCTCAGCGAGGAAGAATACCGGGCTTTGCTGGAGGATCTTTAAAAGTCGGGGCTGGTTGGGGAGGGTTCGGGGCAGGGCAGTGGCCTCTCTCCTGCGGTGAGGTGACCCTCTGGCTCTGCTTCCAGCAAGCCCCGTCTTGGTGTCTTGCCCTGCCGCTGACCTGTCTGGGATCCCTGAGTGCTAGGTTCGTCTGTCCTGTTAGAGACTACACACTGGGCCCGGCTGTGCGGTCCTTCTTTTCCGAGCATCTTGGAAATTCCAGAGCCCGCCCTGGTCCCGGGAGCTGGGCCGTCTAGTGTGCGTTCGCGGTTTTGCAGGCAGCCCTTGGCGCTTCGGGACACCAGCGCAGGCAGAGCTTTCATCCCTCCTCGCAGCTCTGCCCCCACGCCACCCCGCGTACTTCAGGAGGGTTGGCAGAGGGGGCGCTTTACCCGGGAAACACCGGGCCGGGTCCGCAGGTGTGCCCTCTCTCCAATCCGCGACACGCCTTTTCTGCCTCTGCTCCGCCCACCGATCACTGGCACACCGGTAACCCGCCAGCCTCCCCCTCATCACGGAGCAGCGCCTGGTAGCTCAGTGCGGACCCGAGACCACTCCGCCCCCCTCAACCCCTCTACCCCGCGGGCAATCTGAAGGGCTGCTTTCTCCAGGCGGGAGGGAAGGCGGGTAGAGGTGGGGAGAGGACCCCAGAGCGAGAGGGAGGGACGAGAGAAGGGAGGAAAGGACGGAAGGGAGAGAGGGAGGAAGGGAGGGAGGCAGGGACCGAGGGAGAGGGAGGGAGACACAGGGAGGGAGCAGGGAGCGAAGGGAGGGTGAAAAGGAGAAAGAGAGAAAGGAAGAAACGGAGGTTTGGAGGGACTGAGGAAGAAAGGGCAAGAGGAGAACAGGGTGGAACAGAAGGATAAAGAAAGGGACCACGGGACAGAGGAACATAGGCAGAGATTTGAGCGGTCTTCTGCCTCCAGGACCAACGGAGGGACCCCACACTCCCAAAACATTTCGGGAGCTCTATGCGATGCGTGCCAGTCCTCGTTTCACCCACGGGGTTCACAGACTGCATATCCCCACGTCATGCCCTGCAACAGAGCGCGAGGCAGTCTCATCCCCACAGGGGTCACCCTCGAGCCGATTGAAGCGTGATTTCTGACTTCAGCCTCTGATCGGCTGTATGTGTGTATGTGTGTGTGTGCGCGCGGGCGTGTGTGTGTGTGTGCGCGCGCGCGTGTGCATGAATTTGAGGTTCCGGCGGCGTGTCTTGCCCTCCCGCTGACCTGTCTGGGATCCCTTGGTTCCAGGTCGGTCAGGTGAGAGACTGCACAAAGGGCAGGGCTGTGCTGTCATTCTTTCCCCAGCATCTTGGGAACCCCAGAACCCGCCCAGGGCCCGGGACCTGTGCGGTCTCGTGCGCGTGTGTGGGTCTGCAGGCAGCCCGCGGGTCTTCTGGGGACCAGCGCAGGCAGAGCTGTCATCCCTCCTCGCAGCCCTGCCCCCACGCCAACCCGCAGGCTTCAGGAGGGTGAGAAGAGGGGGCGTTTTGCCCCAGAAACACCGGGCCGGGTCCCCAGGCAGGCCCGCTCTCCATTCCGCTGCACCCCTGTTCTGCCTCTCCACTTCGCCCACCGATCACTCGCACACCGATCACTCGCACACCGCTGCCCCGCCAGCTTCCCCGCCATCACCGGTAGTGCCTGGCAGCTCAATATAGACCGGACACCACTGCCCACACAACCCCCCTGTCCCGCGGGCAAACGGAAGGGCTGCTTTCCCCAGGCGGGAGGGAAGGCTGGTAGAGATGGGAGAGGATCCCAGGCGGAGAGGGAGGGACGCGTGAAGGGAGGAAAGGACGCAAGGGAGACAGGGAGTGGGAAGGGAGTGAGGGAGGGACGGCGGGTGGGAGGTAGGATGGGACCCAGCACCTAGGTCGTGGGACACTGTCCTCCTGCCTTGGCACCTCCTGCTTGGTGCTTTGGGACATATGTCTATGCTCATAACTGGGATGTTGTGATTCCCTTCTCTTGCCTAATATCTACTCACATAGGAGTCAATAACTTATTGCTGGGCCCAGTATCAAGTTACATTCCTTTTTTGTCATGACTCTCTTCTCAGAAAGCCTTGCGACACACTGTTGAGTCCACAGTCAATGTGATGTGAGTCTCCTGCATGAACCCTGCCCACAGAGACCATTGCGACGTTATCTCTGGGGACTCCACTATTCAAAATGATTGTCTTGTTACCCCTGCTCTTTGCCCACAGGAGAGGATGTGACTTGTCTCTGGACCCTAGTTGAGGTAACTCTGCTTGCCTGACTGGGCTACGCTTACAAAAGAAAGAGTGACTTGTCACCGGCCCGGCACACAGGTGATGTGATTTTCTTGTCTGGATTCTTGCCCACAGGTATCATCATTACATACTTTTGGTCTCTTCTGCTAGATGGCCTGTGTCTCCTCTTCTTCCTGGGAAGTGTCCACCGACACTGAAATGGAACATTTCACCTGACTCAGCACCTACACGACGTGTCTCTCGTATTACGCCTTGGCTTTTCCCACTGGGCTGATTTGGGACATACAGCTGAGCACAGCCTCTAGGCTATTTAACTCTTCTCTTCTCACGTGGTCCTACCCACAGGAGGTATTGGGATATATTTCTAAGCACTTCTCCGAGGTAATGACTCTTTTTGGGGCTTTCCCCGGATACGGTACGGTGACCTATTTCTGGACCAGCACCGAGGCGATGTCCCTCATTTCTCCTACCTGTTGCCGGTTAGGGCAAAGGAATTCCTAGGGGTGTGAGTCTACAGAAACCGCGATTCTTGCCTCCTCAGGAGAAAGGACTCCACCGAGGGCCGTAAAGCAGGAGAGTTTCCGAGCAGCAGTAAACGTGTGTGAACAAACTTTGGAAGCGGAACAGAAGGAGGGAAAGTACGCGTGGCAGAGTGCCGAGAGGATAACTCACAAGGCAAACGCAGGATGCGACCTTTCGACTTGGGGTTTTATATGTTGGAATGCCTCTGGGTTGTGGTTGTTGGTCGCGGTGTTGTCTTTTTTGTTTTTTGTTTTGTTTCGTTTTTCTTCTTTTTTAAATACAGAGTCTCGCCCTCTCGCCCAGGCTGGAGTTCAATGGCCGGATCTCGGCTCACGGCAACCTCCACCCCTCGGGTTTGAGTAATTCTCCTGCCCCAGCCTCCCAAGTAGCTGGGATTACAGGCGTCTGCCACCACGCCCGGCTAATTTTTTGTAATTTTTGTATGTGACCTCCGCAAGGGTGCCTGTCGCTCAGGTCTCTGTGGCTTCCTAAGTCGTGGTGACCTGATGACGTTCACTGTTTTGTTCCCCGAGCTCGGCGGGGAAACAGAAACTCCCAGGGATCCGTGGAAAAGCAGCAGCGTGTCGCTGCCCTTTCTATCCAGGTTGCCGAGACTCCCCGTGTGGCAGGAAACAGGAATCCCTCGTCAGGCCGTCTCTGCCCGGGATGTTTTCTTTCTCCGTGCCTTCGCTCTCGTTTTCTACAGGAACACGAACCGGATCCACGCAGCTGCGTGTGTGAGAGTGTCGTGGCAACGGCGACACCCACAGACGTGGACGCCTTGACGGAGAGGGGGGGCTTGGAAAACTCAGGCCTGTCACGGGGGTTCGCTTCTGCACGCCACCCTCCCTGGTGACGTGTTCGAGCCCGGAGAGAGGCTTCCAGTTTCCGTAGAATTCCTGGAGAACCCCAGAGGTCCAGCCCCCGAAGCCCCGCGTGTCCCTCCCCCGCCGCTCAGGCCCCACCCCCGACCACCCCACAGGGCCCTGGTGTCCCTGTGGTTTCCGGCTTGAGAGGGCGGGCTACCCCGCCCTGGGTCCCCGGAGCTCATGCAAATTCAGGAAGGGGTGGGGCCGCTAGGTCTCTATAAAAGCGGCCCCTGGCTGGCGGGGCCGGACTCCTGGCTTGACCTGCCTGCAGGTGCGGTGCACAGCAGAGGTTGGCTGAGGCGCGCGGGAGCCGCCGGGCCTCTGTGTGCCTGTGTCTGTCTGTGACACTCGGCCCGGTCTCCCCGCGATGGCTCTCCCCACAGCTCCCGGCAGCCCTCTCCCGGCGGAGGCCCGAGGGCGAGGAAGGCGAAAGAGGCTCGTTTGGACTCCGAGCCAGAGGGACGCCCTGCGAGCGTCCTTTGAGCGGAACCCGTACCCGGGCATGGCCACCAGAGAACAGCTGGCCCAGGCCATCGGCGTTCCGGAGCCCAGGGTCCAGATTTGGTTTCAGAACGAGAGATCGCGCCGGCTGAGGCAGCACCGGCGGGAATCCAGGCCCTGGCCTGGGCCACGCGGCCCGCCAGAAGGCCGGCGAAAGCGGACGGCCGTGACCCAGTCCCAGACCGCCGTGCTCCTCCGGGCCTTCGAGCGAGAGCGCTTTCCGGACTTCGCCACCAGGGAGGAACTGGCCGGAGAGACGGGCCTCCCGGCGTCCAGGATTCAGATTTGGTTTCAGAATCGAAGGGCCAGGCATCCAGGCCGGGCTGGCAGGGGACCCCTGGCCGCAGGCGGCCTGTGCAACAGGGCTCCTGGCGGGTGCGGCTCCTCTGCTCGCTCCTGGGTCGCCTCCACCCACACCAGGGCGTGGGGGGCGGCGCTTCCCGCACCCCAAGTGCCCTGTGCGCCTGGGGCCCTCCCACAGGGGCCTGTCGTGAGCCAGGCAGCAAGGGCCGTGCCCCTGCTTTTGCACGGACAGGCCCCACAGGCAGAAGGAATCTCGCAACCTGCCCGGCACTCGGGGCTTTCGGGTTCGCCGCCCTGGCTCTTTCAGAAGTGGCGCTCCCCCACCCTCAGAGCCTTCGGGGCCCTCCCCACCCGATCAGATGCCAGGAGGAGCGGGACCGGCCACATGCCGGCCTGCCAGGGACGTTCTCCGTGGGACAGCTTGGGCCCGCTGAAGCCTAGCCACAGGGGCAAGGTATGCGGGTGCCACACAGGGCCCCCCAGGGTCCCTGGTTGGGCTGGGGCCAGGGGCTCCACGTGGCTGGGGTGTCCGGCGAACCCCAAGCCGTGCCACCTCCACCTCCACAGCCCGCACTTCCGGAGACCCCCGCCTGGCAGGGGCAGATGCCAGCCCTGCAGGCGCCTTCCCAAGCTGGGTGGAACCCAGCACCTAGGTCCTGGTACTCCTCCTGCCTTGGCACCTCCTGCTTGGGGCTTTGGGACATATATCTGTGCTCATAACTAGGATGCTGTGATTCTCTTCTCTTGCCTAATATCTGCTCACATAGGAGTCAATAACATAACAGGTGCAATATTTACTCTGTCTCAAAGAAAATGAAGACACAAAGAAAATTATACATCTTATCAAAATGACTTTTTTCCAATATTGATCGTTTATTCTGAAAATAGTTACAAACTCATACTCAAACATACTTAATTCATTATTTTCTTCCACCTAAAGTTTATATTTAGACTAACAGATGTGTATATTTAACTCTAGGTAAATTAAAACTAAAAATCTTTATGTGTTTGAAAGGATACAGGCCACATATGAAAAGAAGACTAAGAAATTTTTAAAAGTATTTATCCAGGACTCAGATATGTGTAAATTTTATTTGTAACTGTATACAATTTTTATTATTACGAAACTGACCCTGTAGTCAATTTTACTTTTACGTCATAAAATTTCTATATCTGTAGAATTGTTTGTAATACAAAAGATAAATTTTAGAGGTGATGGATCCCTCAGTCAACCTAATGTGATTAAATACTGTATGCCTATCAGAATATTTGTAACATATGTACATATATATAACATAAATATGTGCCCACAAAAATTAACAAAAGTTAAATGCAGGAAAAAAAACTTTACCTACTGGAACAATATTGATTAACTTATTGCAGTTTTAAGCCAGTGGCAAAAAAGATTACTAGAGACCTTAGTCCATGATTTAACCAAATCGTGTATTCTTTTATCTTTTACCTATACCCTTGAGTCAGGAGGACTAGGTTAAAGTAAATGGAATAAGATGTAATTGAATGTGCAATATTTAAAATGTGAAAAACGTTGAATTAAGAAATTCACACCTAATCTAAAATTTTTAGCATGTACTGCATTTTGTTTCATAAAAGTACAATCGGTAAAATAATATGCTAATTTTATTTTATTTATTTTTGAGACAGCGTCTCACTGTATCACCTAGGCTGGAGTGCAGTTGCACAATCTCAGCTCATTGGTAACCTTCGCCTCCTTGGTTGAAGCGGTTCTTCTGCCTCAGTCTCCCGAGTAGCTGAATGAACTACAGGTGTGCACCACCAAGCACAGCTAATTTTTGTATTTTTAGTAGAGATTGGGTTTTACCACATTGGCCAGGCTGGTCTCAAACTCCTGACCTTGTGATCCACAAGTCTTGGTCTCCCAAAGTGCTGGGATTACGGGTCTGAGCCACCAGGCAAAGACAATTTAACTAAAACTAACAGTATTTGTCTCTCAATATAATGCAGAAGAATATTACTCTGGACACCTACCTCATGCATCACTCACTACTGTAAGTTAACCACAAAGAATCTTTTTAGATTTTCATCATGTGTGTTACATTTTAATGTCCTTACTCTTTCGTAAGAGGTCATAGACGTTCACCTACTAAAAATTATCTCTTCTGTCTTGATACAGCAACAATTGGTCACATGCTTTCATGTACAAACACAATAGTAATAAAGAAACATGATGGACTGAGCACAGTGGTTAACACCTGTAATCCCTGTACTTTGGAAGGTTGAGCTGGGTGGAACACCTGAGGTCTCAAGTTTGAGACCAGCCTGGCCAACATGTCCAAACCCCACTTCTACTAAAAATATAAAACATAGCCTGAGATAGTGGTATGTGCCTGTAATCCCAGCTACTTAAGAAACTGAGGCAGGAAAATCACTTGAACCCAGGAGGTAGAGGTTGCAGTGAGCTGAGATTGTGCCACTGCACTCCAGCCTGGGAGACAAAGCAAGACTTCATCTCAAAAGATAAAAAGGAACTAATTATTTTCCAGGAAGTAATTTGAGTTAATTGCAAGATTATCTGTATGAAGTAATTTGATAATTAGTAACAACATTGCTTTTCACAAAATCTGTAATCTTTCCAAAAAAAGTATACTTGTAATGTAATTATAACTCTCCAAAAAATCTTCTATTTTTAAAGTTACATACGAATAATTTTTCTACCAACTTGTTATATTTTCTAAACTCAGAACTCTGATTTAAAGTCTGAAGTGTCAGTGCCTTATGCATGTCTAATGTAAATTCTGATATTTACATAACTTAATTTTGAATTATCTTTTCTATTTACTATATCTGCAAAAATATATTTAATATAAACTCTCGTTTTTTTATTTATATATATTTTTATGACTCTCTGAAGTTTTCTAAGCTGTAATTTTTTTCTCCAAATTTATTCCATTTGCAAGGTTTTTCTTCTACATAAATTTTCTGATGTTGAACAAAGTTTAAGCAGTTGGGTCAGAGTTTGCCTCTAATATAAAATGAGGACGAGATCTGTGTTGCAAGTAAATGTGCTACAACTCTCTTTATGTTTGTCATGTTTGTCTTCCAAATAAATCCTCTTCAGCACTTTAAAGGCTTATATTTTCTGAAGAACCTTTTGAGAAACCTGCATTTTTAATGCTTTTATTAAGGATAAACTCTGATGTAGAGTAAGATTGTGAGCAGATATTAACCACTTTTCTACTTTCTATTTGTACATTTTTTTCTCAAGTATAAATGCTTTCCTGTGCAAGAAGGTGTGAGCATGGTTTAAAAGTTTTGCCACATCGTTCATACTTGTAGAAGTTTTCTCTAGTATGAACCACCTCACCTACAATCGTGTCAACCATTTAAAGACTTCCTCACATTATTCATATTTCTATGATTTCTCACCAGCACAATTTCTTTAATATTTGAAAATGTTTGAGGTGCTTTTTTATTGCATTTTAGGTTTTGGGGTACATGTGAAGAACATGCAAGACTGTTGCATAGGTACACACACGGCAGCGTGATTTGCTGCCTTCCTCCCCTTCACCTATATCTGGCACTTCTCCCCATGCTCTCTCTCCCCAACTCCGCACCCCCCACTGGCGATTCCCTATTTCCCCCCGACAGACCCCAGTGTGTGATGCGCCCCTCCCTGTGTTCATGTGTTCTCATTGTTCAACACCCACCTATGAGTGAGAACATGTGGTGTTTGATTTTCTGTTCTTGTGTCAGTTTGCTGAGAATGATGGTTTCCAGGTTCCTCCATGTCCCTACAAAGGACACGAACTCATCGTTTTTGATGGCTGCATAATATTCCATGGTGTATATGTGCCACGTTTTCCCTGTCCAGTCTATCGTCGATGGGCATTTGGGTTGGTTCCAGGTCTTTGCTATTGTAAACAGTGCTGCAAGGAACATTCGTGTGCATGTGTCCTTATAGTAGAACGATTTATAGTCCTTTGGATATATACCCAGTAATGGGATTGCTGGGTCAAATGGAATTTCTATTTCTAGCATTGTTACAACTTTTGGGTTTGTAGACTTTCTCTCCAGTATAAATCATCTTATTTCTGTTAAGAATTGAGGATTAATTTAAGGCTTTACCACATTCTTCACACTTTATGGATTCTCTCCATTAAAAATTATCATACAAATTGTAAGGTTTGAGGACTGGTTAAAGACTATTCCACATTCTTCATATTTGTAGGCTTTCTCTCTAGTATGAATTTTTTTATGTGTAGTAAGTGTTGCAGATTGGTTAAAAGCTTTGCCACATCCCTCACATTTGTAGGGTTTCTCTCCAGTATGAATTCTCTTATGTCTAGTAAGGTGTGAGGATACTTTAAAATCTTTGCCACAGTCTTTACATTTGTAGGGTTTCTCTCCAGTATGAATTCTGTTATGTGTAGTAAGGGTTGAGGACTGGCTAAAAGCTTTGCCACATTCTTCACATTTGTAGGGTTTCTCTCTAGTGTGCATCCTCTTATGTTTAGTTAGGGTTGAGGACAACATAAATCCTTTGCCACATTCTTCACATTTGTAGGGTTTCTCTCCAGTATGTTTTTTCTTATGTGTAGTAAGGGTTGAGGACCACGTAAAAGATTTGCCACATTCTTCACATTTGTAAGGTTTTTCTCCAGTATGAATTTTCTTATGTCTAGTAAGGGTTGAAGACCAGCTAAAAGATTTGCCACACTCCTCACATTTGTAGGGTTTCTCTCCAGTATGAATTCTCTTATGTATATTCAGATAGGAGTACTGGCTAAAAGCTTTGCCACATTCTTCACATTTGTTGGATATCTCTCCAGTATGATTTCTCTTATGTGTAGTAAGGTGTGAGAACCGGTTAAAGGCTTTTTTACATTTCTCACATTTGTAGGGTTTCTCTCCAGAATGAATTTTCTTATGTGTAGTAAGGGTTGAGGACAAGCTAAAAGATTTGCCATGTTCCTCACATTTGCAGCGTTTCTCTCCAGTATGAATTCTCTTTTGTGCAGTAAGGTGTGAGAACCACTTAAAGGCTTTTCCACTTTTTTCACATTTGTAGGGATTCTTTTCAGAATGAATTATCTTATGTTTAGTAAGATGTGAGGCCTGGCTAAAAGCTTTGCCACAGTCTTCACATTTGTAGAGTATCTCTCCAGTATGAATTCTCGTATGTGTAGTAAGGTGAGAGAACCTGTTAAAGGTTTTTCCACATTCTTCACATTTGTAAGGTTTCTTTCCAGTATGAATTCTTTTATAGGTAGAAAGATTTGAGGTCTCATTATATGCTTTGCCACATTCTTTACGTTTGTGGGATCTTTCCCCACTATGAATTCTTTTATGTTGCACTAAGTGTGAAAACGTGCAAAATGTCTTTTCACATTCTCTACATTTAAAAGGTTTCTTTCTAGTTTGTCTTATCTTATGTCTGTTTGAATATGAAAAGTTTTGAAAGACTCTCACAAATTTTTTGCATTGAAGTATTTTGCTCTGGGTAGTCGTCAAACACTGGTTAAGTCCATTGTAACATTCTTTGAGCACCTTACACTCATCCACGCTTTGACAACATTTTCTTAACTGGAAATTTTTATGTTTACATTGTTTATATCTTCTCAGTATCATTTTTTGGAAACAACTTTTTATGCCCTGCTTTGGCCAACATTCTTGGGCAAAATAAGAACATACACCTGAAAGAAATAAAAATAACAAATTACTCCACTTACTAGACTCAGATGAATATACTTTACAAATATTATGTATAAAATTGTACAAACCACATCAAAAGATGGCATAGCAAAATATTACAGGCCTGAATTTTTTCACAGACATGTAAATGTAACAAAAATATACAGACAAATTACATTTATAAAAAATTAAAGTGTGTGCAATGCCCCTGGTGAGCCCAATGCAAACAGCCACATAGAAGAAAAGTCTCCTACATTTACACACTACGGATCTTCCTGATTTCCAATAAAACATAGTGACTTCAAATAAATTGCCAACTGCTGGTTTCCTTCTTAAAAGACAAGGAAAACACTGCCTTATACATCTTAATTTATGGATGTTAGGATCTTTTACAGCCACTGGCTCCTGTCTCTCATTACCTAAAGATCTGAAATAAATAGTGGTATTCTTTCAAATGACAGTTTGAGTCTGCTGAGACAAAAGGTAGGTTGTCCAGCAGCAGAAAGACTGTGGTATCATAGACAGAAAACAGTTGTAGCAAGTGATTACTGGTTATTAAGAAGAAATATAAACAGGCTGAGTGTGGTGGTTCACACCTGCAATCCTAGCAGTTTGAGAGGCCAAGGTGGGTGGATCCCATGAGGTCAGGAGCTTGAGACCAGCCTGGGCAACATGGCAAAACCCTGCCTCTACTAAAAATACAAATTAGCTGAGCATGGAGATGCATGCCTGTAATCCCAGCTATGTGAGAATCTGAGACAGGAGAATTACTTGAACCTGGGAGGCAGATGCTGCAGTGACTTAATACCATGCCACTGCACTCCAGTCTCGGTGACAAAAGAGAAACTGTCTCAAAAGAAAAAAAGAAAAAGAAGAAAGAAACATGAATGAACTCCTTTAACTATAAACTAAACAGATAATTTTAGACAAGGCAAATTCTAAAGACATGTTTGAGAGACTCCCAGAATCTCTAGCTAAGATAATTGTTTCAGACTATGTCACATGAAACTACATTTTAGAGACTGTGACAGGTAGCTTTTTTAAAATGCTCAAAACTCAAAGATAACAATAGGGCAATATAATTTTATCAAAAATATTATATAATTCTCAAAAAAACATGAAAAAGACACACACATTAATTTTAAACACTGATAATAAGTTGAATCATATTCAATGGGTAAGAGAATGATCCAAGATGGCTGATCACTAACATCCCGGGATTGCAGCTCTCAGGGAAGGCGCGGAGAACTAGAGGACGCCACACTTTCAGACAAATTCTGGTCACTCACGGAGCAGAAGATCCCCCAGTGGAGGAAACACACGGGTGGCCAGCATGACTCTCGTGGCCGGCGCAGCGGTTCCGCCGGCACCTTGGCGCGGCAGCTCTTGGAGCAGAATAAACAGGTTCGGAGGACCCACAAGGGCCCCCAACACGACACCAGAGCCCGGCAGCACCTGTGACGGCACCTCGGCACGCAGCACTCGGCGCAGAGTAAACGGGACCGGTTCCCCTTCTGACCAAGGTTTGGAGCCCTGGGAAGGCAGAGTCACCCATTACGGACACAAGAAGGAAGCCAGACAGGAGAATCCTGGGCAGAAAAGCACCATCAGTTTTAACGCCGCTGCTCTGGCCCGGGGAACTAACAACCTGGACATCCACTCAAGAGACCTAATCTGAAAGTTGGTAATTTCAAAGATGAGAGGAGGATAAATTTACAATGACGGGAAGAAACCAGCGTAAAAAAGCTGAGAACACTTGAAGTCAGAACGCCTCTCCCTCTAAAGATGATCACAGTTCCACATCAACAATGGAACAAGGCTTGATGGAGAACGAGCGCATCCTGATGACAGAATCACTCTTCAAGGAATGGATAATAACAAACTTCGGTGAGTTAAAAGACCATGTTGTAGCCCAACGTAAAGAAACTAGGAACTTTGAAAAAAGGTTTGATGAAATCCTATTGAGAATAGACAACCTAGAGAGGAGTATGAGTGAATTAATGGAACTGAAGAATACAATACAGGAACTCCGAGAAGTATGCACAGGTTTAAACACTCGAATTGTTCAAGCAGAAGAAGGGATATCAGAGGTCAAAGTCCAACTTAATGAAATAAAACGTGAAGAAAAGATTAGAGAAAAAAGGATAAAAAGGAATGAGCAAAGTCTCCAAGAAATGTGGGAATATGTGAAAAGACCAAATTTACCTTTGATAGGTGTACCTGAATGCGACAGAGAGAATGAATCCAAGCTGGAAAATACCCTTCAGGATATTATTCAGAAAAATTTTCCTAAACTAGCAAAGCAGGTCAACATTCAACCCCAGGTAATACAGAGAACACCACAAAGATATTCCACAAGAAGAGCAACCCGAAGGCACATAATCGTTAGATTCACCAGGGTTGAAACGAAGGAGAAAATACTAAGGGCAGCCAGAGAGAAAGGTCAGATTACCCACAAAGGCAAGCTTATCAGACTTACAGCAGATCTCTCAGCAGAAACTCTACAAGCCAGAAGAGAGTGGGGGCCAATATTCAACATCCTCAAAGAACAGAACCTTCAGCCCAGAATTTCATATCCAGCCAAACTAAGCTTCACAACTGAAGGAAAAATAAAATCTTTTATGAACAAGCAAGAACTCAGAGATTTTATTACCACCAGGCCTGCTTTACAAGAGCTTCTGAAAGAAGCAATACACACAGAAAGAAACAACCAGTATTAGCCTTTCTAAAAATACACCAAAAAGTAAAGAGCACCAACATAAAGAAGAATTCACACCAACGAATGGATAAAACAGCCAGTCAACATCAAATGGCAGTAACCCTAAATTTAAATTGACTAAATCCCCCAATCAAAAGACACAGACACAGCCAAAACCCAATGGCATGTTACATCCAGACCTGTTTCACATGCAAGGATACACAAAGACTCAAAACAAAGGGATGGAGAAAGATTTATCAACCAAATGGAGAGCAAAAATAAATAATAAATAAATAAAAAACAGGAGTTGCAATTCTCGTATCGGATAAAATAGATTTTAAAGCAACAAAGATACAGTGGCAAAAGGATCAATGCAACAACAAGAGCTAACGATCCTAACACCCAGATAGGAGACTTAGATTCAATGAGACAGAAAATTAATAAGGATATCAAGGACTCGAACTCAGATCTGGAACAAGTAAACTTAATAAATATTTATAGAGCTCTCCACTTCAAATACACAAAATACACATTCTTGTCAACACCACATCACACCTACCCATGAGTTTAAATGAAACATTGATTGGCCATTATTAATACCCAACTTTTTTCAAAATAAAGCAATATTTCCATTTACTCTCCCTCTTTCTCTTCCTCTTTCTTCCTCTCCTTTACTTATTTTTTTTTTTCTTTCCTTCTCTCAAAAAAAAAGAAATCAACTTGTAAACCTCTAGATCCAAGTCGGCAATGTCTCTCTCATTGCTTGATTTCCTTCCTTCCCTTCCCTCCGTCCCTCCCTCCCTCCCCGCTTCCTCCCTTCCTTCCTTCCTTCCTTCATCCCTCCCTTCCTGGCTTCCTCCACCCGCCCCCCCCAAAAAAAAAAATATTCAATGGGTAAAACAGGAACACAGACCACTGTAAAAATCATAAAAATAAGACTGAAAGCATAAAATATCTAAAGTATTTTCTCAAATTTTGGAGGCAAGAAATAGAAAAGTAAACAATTGGAAAATCCTAAAAATAATGTAAAAATGAAGAGGTTCAACAAACAAATTAGGACAGAAGCAAAGGTATTTATACAAATACACATATAAGTACATTCTCAAAAATCAGACTAGAAAACAGTTTTGGAAGCTGCAAGATAAAAGTAATGTGTCATTTACAAACATAGTGTTATGATATAACAAGTGAATTACCAAAACAAATTTTGTAGGCCAGAAAGAGACCGTGTGACACAGACAAATTCCTGCAGGGGGTGGGGAAGCAATCAAGTGAGAATAATAACCAACAACAAACCTGTCCTGCCAAATAAAAAGAAAATAATCTGGGGGGTGGGGAGTTGGGGAGAGACAGCATGTGGAGAAATGTCAGATATAGGTGAAGGGGAGGAAGGCAGCCAATCACGCTGCCATGTGTGTACCTATGCAACCATCTTGCATGTTCTTCACATGTACCGCAAAACCTAAAATGCAATTACAAAAAAGTGAAGTGCCCTTACCAAACAGAGCCTATACCCTATTATTCTATTTGGAAAACGAGTATCCAACTTCTGGACTGTCTGGTGCTTAGGCTTTTCTGATGTCTCGCCACTTTATTTTTCTACTCAAGTCTAGTTAAGAGCAAACTAGAGAAAACTAAAAGTAGCTCAGTGCAGCCACTGACTAGTATATCTGGAATCCAAATACCTAATGGAAGAGAAGGCTGAGATTTAGGACTGTAGTGAGGCTTAGGCAATTTTTCATGCATCAGAAGTGTCCATGCTCTCTTATTTCCACCTTTCCCGCAGAAAACCAAGAGCTGGTTTTCGGGAACATTTGTACCCACTCATTCTAGAGCTGGTTCTGACTTCTGATGGCTTGTACAGGTCACTAAGGCAGCCCAGAAAGCTTCTGTCAGAGCCCAGGAATTTCAGTTTCTTTTATTGCAAGGAGAACTGGAAATGAAAACAGACCACTACACAAGTTAAACTGCCTAGAGCAGAGACTTGAAAAAAATTCTATCAGCAATGTAATATCCTGAGCCCAGAATGAATCTATCCATTGGGAAAGAAATTGAATCAGAATCCTCCTTTGTGTAAATGCCCTTCATGTTGATCTTTTCTTTCCATCCAGTGCTGTTTTGGTATCAAATAGAATCTTCCAATGTTAAGAAAGTGTAGCACTGAAAGGACCTTGAACTGACTGAGATTTGGCTAACGCTATGCAAAAACTGCTTTAATCAGAAGAGTCCTGGGGGATGTCTGCTGAACAGCTTCATCTCAAGCAGGATGGGAATGGCTCCCTCTAATCAGATGTTGAAAGATTT